AACCCAATGCACATCGGTAGGAAAAGAGACCCCGTCTTAAATAGGAGGAGGCAACACTGTTTAAACAGTCACTGAATTGCACAGTCGTCAACCTCCCCATTTCTTTATTCTGGCACCCACCAAGTGTGGTGTACAGGCGCAACCAGAGCATACAAATTTAAGTCTAGCAACGGCCACCGCTTCCTTTTTACCCAGAAGCGTTTTGTAATCAGCGTATTGGTTCCAAAGCAGATGTGGTCTGTTCACACATAATCGTCTTCCAATGAACGGTGCATGTAGGATCCATTGAAGCACTCCCAAACCAATTCCCCAGCAAATCTGCTACAGGAAATTGGTTACCCTCAAGAAGGATGTTGGGCAGGACTTTTGGGGGCCAAATGGCATCCTTGGGGTTTTACTCCAATAAGTAGATGATAGTAATCGCCTCTCTCCAGTTACATCTGCCTGTCCCTCCAGATCCTGCAGAGAGGGCATGCTGTGGGTCCCGTCAGCTAGGGATCTATATCTGATGGGTCTTGGACAGCAGGCCTTTTCTGCCGCAGCACCTGCTTTGTGGAATGCCCTCCCCCCTGAAGTGAGGCTGGCTTCATCCTGTCCAGCTTTTCAAAGATCCCTCAAAACATGGTTGTGCCATCAGGCCTAGGGACCCCAGGGACTGTTCTTAACATCGGCTCTGCACCCAGTATTTCTTCTTTTTTATAGTTTTAAAGTTTTTTTAAGAATAACAATGGCTGTATACGTGTGTATATTTATTGTTTTTTAGTTCTGTCGTACGGCGCCCAGAATCACTTGTCTATGAGATGGGCGGCCGTATAAATCTGATAGTAAGCAAATAAATAAATAAGTGGGACGAAGGACTGGAAGTGGGCAGAACAAAAATGAAGCCAGGACATCTGTTTCTGCAATCTGCTGGTGATGTTGCCCCCTTGCTGACTCAGTCTTTGCAGAAATGATGTGGTCAGAAAGTGGTATTAACCACGGTGAGTGGACGAGACATTGCTAATCCCATTGCTCCCTTCCTCATCCCTATTTTTAGCCCTTGCGGCATTTGGTCCACCTCCAGCCATGATGATTGCCCTAAAACATTTGCCCCCTGCCTCGTTTCGTCCATGCCAGCTGTTTGTCCAGGTGGCTGCGAGTGCCCACTGGTTGACCCAGCCCTTGCAGGAACGGTGCGGTCAAGAAAAGAACATCCATTGTGGTGGTGCCTATTGTTAAATCTGGGCTGGACTCCAAGACAAGCAACTGCATATTCAAAGTATGGTTAGACTTGGCTATTGTGGGAAATCCTAAATCCAGCCAGCAAGTGGCAAGGGTGCGGGCCAGGAGGCACATCAGATTTTCATACCATCATACTATGGGCCAAGGCAGCGCTTCTCCCCAGTTAGAATTACAGGGCAAACCATGCTTGCATTATAGTTTGCAAACCATGTTTTATGATTAAACAGGTACAAACCCAGTTTATTCAACAAACCATAGTTAAATAAGCCATGATTTGGTGCAATGTGTGAAGTTAGATTACATCCCAATTTCTATTTTAGCCTCCAGAGAGCTTTGAGACTCCTGTTATCTCCTGCAACAACACGCTCAGCATCTATCTATCTATCTATCTATCTATCTATCTATCTATCTATCTATCTATCTATCATTAAAATTCTCATTGTGTTTATCTATCTGTCTGTTGGTACCCTCAAGTTAGCCCAAATGGTGCATTATACTGGAACAATTTTTGAATGAAGGTACCTAAAATCCACCAACTTAAAGAATGCGTAAAAAATCCAGGCCCCATTACTCCTGTGGAATTGAAATTTCCACGATGTTCAAACCAGTTGTGTTTGCAAAGTTGTGGCCGTTGCAGCGTCCCTGCAGCCACGTGATTGTGATTTCCGACATTCCCTGCCAGCTTCCCACAAGGAAAGTCAATGGGGAAGCTGGCAGGAGGTTGGAAGTTGCTCCCATTGCCTTTTTGCCTGCCCGTGGTCATTCTGTTGATTTCTTTAGGTAAATAAATATTGACTTATTATTGAAGTCCATTTGCCACTACAATTACTTTTCTATTTATGATATATACTCTTCTTAGATGATCACAGGACCGTCCAGCATTGGGGTAAAAAAAATACGGTTAGCCAAAAATTTAGCATTCATTCTGGTCACATCAGACTGCACTACCTTTCTCTCAAAGGATGACCCGGTGGGTCACAGGGTTGTCTAGTTTTCTGCTATAAATATCAGGGGCTTTGGGATACACCTTTCAGATGGAAAAGTAGTTGAGGCAGGTGAGGTCTCTGGAAAAGGCAGGTGTGGTAATTAAGAAGCTCCCCCCCCCCAACTCTTCAGTTAGACTGGCAAGAATTTGAAAATAATGGTGGAGTATATATAAAACCCAAACTTGCTTTTAACTGTTTGAATTGTCTGTTTGGATATTGTAAGCCACCCTGAATCTTTTGGAGTGGGCAGCCACAATAGAGTCAATAAAGTAAATAAACTGTGCTTGAGGCAGTCAACCACAGTCGGCTGAGTTCAAACAATGCACAAACCATTGATCGTGATTTAAAAAACCCAGCAGCTGGGTTCATACAACACAAGCCACGTTTGTGCCACCTGTGAACCCAGCCAGAGTCAACTTTCCTCTTCCAAATTCCAGTCTGATGGAGGCCTCTCCAGAGGTGAAAGCAGCACAAAAAACCTCTGGGCCCCACTATTGCTTTGAGACTCTTCTCTCTCCTAACTTCCCTTTCCCCTAACCAGGATAAACGAGACTAGGAATTCTGGCACAGGAAGCTGGTGGAAGCCAGACCAAGTCTACACGAGGAAACCCAAACCACAGACGGGTGGGCGGGAGGAACGGACAGGCAGGCTGAGAGACAGCCTGGCCCCCAGATGTTACTCCTCCAAAAGAGGGAGGGCACAGACCCAGTTGGCTGGAGAAGGAAAGATGTCTGGCTTCTCCAGCCAGAGCAACCGTCTCCTTCGTGCACTTTTTCCTCCCCGTGTCTGTTGAAGCACCAGGGGTGGAAGTGGCCATAGTCAACCAGGAGGTGGAAGAGAAGTTCCAGAAGCAGGTCCAAGCAGGGACTTTTGGCTGGGTGATGCCTCGCGGGCAATATATGTTTCCAAAATCCCCAGCATTTGTTTTGCCCAGGCTGGGCATTTCAAGGGCCTGCTACGGTCATTCTCATCAAGAGGCTGCTGCGCTGTGCACGGGCCGTCCCACAGCCGGCCCGTTCTTTAACCCAAGAGGCAATTCCCATCAAAACGCTGGGCTGGACCGCATCTCCCATGATTTCTGTTTTCTAAGAATGCCTTTGGGGATTATGTGGAAGGGCCAGAGTCATTTCTTGAAGTAAGGGTTTTGTGTAACTCTGACGCTTCTCTTTGCAGTAGAACTGTCTTTCCATTTTTTTAACATTAGAAGTCTCTCTCTCTCTCTCTCTCTCTCTCTACCTCTATTCCTTTCTCTCTGCACATGAAGCCTAGTGCTGTGTTTCTCAGCCTTGGCAGCTTTAAGATGCGCAGACATCAACTCCCAGAATTCCGGGAGCTGAAGTCTACCCATGTTAAAGCATGCTGGCTGGGGAATTCTGGGAGCTGACATCCACCTGTCTTAAAGCTTCTGAGGTTGAGAAGCACTGGCCTAGCGGATGCCCAGGAAGGCATCTGTGAGAACTCCCCAGATGCCCGCAGGTACCATCTTGGATTGCCAGCGAAGTTTGAATCTGGGGGGGCCTCAAACTTTGATGCTGGGGAACTCTGCATTTAAAGCTTGTTGCTTTGGCCCTTCTGGGATCAGCATATTCGGGGAAAGGCTCCAGTTTTGGGGGGGGGGGTTGTAATTATTGTTGCTATTTCCTGAGTGATGCTACATGGCGTCATTGTTGGAAAATCTAGGTAATTTGTGTTTCCTTTTACTTGCTGCTTTGGAAGCGTCGCTGAGGGGCAAAGTATAAAGAACAAAGAAATGGTGGACCACAAAGAACTGGAAAAAGCGGTTCCTGGTTCAAATCCTGGCTATTTTCTCACTGGTGGTCTGGGCTGGTCTCTTTGGGAGGAAAGCCGGGGTGACAGAAGTAAACTTTAAAAGCTTTCTTCCCAGGCAGGAAACGATGGTTAAAGCAAGTGAACTTTGCAGAGCAGAGATGCTAATTCGCATGTAATCGGAGAAGTTTTATTCATGAAGTCGGGATGGGAATTGGCAGACATTAACTGAGGATTGTTTATTTCCTTCTGTGTGGGAACCGTTGGAGAAGGTGCAGGGGGAGAGCTTGGTCTGCAGAGAATGTAGCGTGCTGGATGTTCATAAAAACATCCCAGAATAATCCCCAGTATTTCCTCGATGCATTTCTTCCTTTAATATGAAACAGGAGACGCATGGGTGTTTGTGTATGAGGGCAGGGGGTCAAAAAAGTCAAGATGGCAGGATCAAAACCCTGCCCCATTTTACGGGCAGGGCTTTGTTCGCCCAGTCACAGCCGCCATCTTGACTTTTTTGACAACCCCTCCTTCGGGCACCTTACGTATCTTTTTGTGGGTGACAGTCGCTATAAATTACTCTCAAGAAAGGTGGGTATGGAAATTGGTTATTTCCCATAACCCATCTTGCTGTATCATTGTTTGCATAACAACGGCTTGCTGGACAAACCACGATTAGCTCACCCAACAGGCTGTACCACAAATCGCAGTTCAAAGCTGCCATGGCTAGGTTTGCGCAACTTGCTGTGCCAAAGCCATCAATCAATCAGTCAATCAATCAATCCATCCCATGCTGGCTTAGCGTGCTCCATGAACCAGACCTGTGGCTGATAAAAGAATGCTCAAGCGATGTCTGCAGAGTCAAAAGTCACCCGTTCTGGCCAAGGATTGTGCAAATGCGCGAGCTGAGAAGTGTAAAAATGGCACGAACCCAACCCACAATCAAACTGCTAATAACCACTGCGATTGAAGTATGAAGGTTGGCTATGACTAATTCATCATCTCCCTCCATGCGTGCTTCTGTCTCTCAGGGCTGAATCACAGCGCGTCCTTCTCGTGCGAAGCCCACAACGCCAAGGGCGTCAGCACATCCCGAACTGCGGTGGTGAGAGGTGAGAGGCGGCTGCAAGCGCCGTGTAATGAACCATGGGGAACCCTAGTGCAAATGGTTGGTGTAAATGGGGTGGGTGGAAACTCCCCAGTGGGGTTGACTTTAAAGACACCTCTGCATTTAAGGCCCAGGTTTTTAAAAACAGCAAATATAGTTGGGTGGCATTGATGGAGATTCTGCTCCCCCTATCCCAACAGCGAAAGAAAGGATTAAATTCCCCCCTCCCTGCAGTCCAGCCTTGCTAATTCTGTTCTCATTTTCATTTTACAAGCCTAAACCATTGAAATGCAGAGTGTATTTAAATCTACTCTAGCCGGTGTCTCAGACGGGGCTGATACTTTAGAATTGCATATCACAGGAAGAAAGGGGAAAAGTTGTGGGTTTTTTCCCCCATTTAAAAAAAGAAAAAAAAACTTTATTTAACAATGATACAGCATCTATATCCATTATGCCAATTCTCTCTCAAAGCTTAGCTTGGATTGAATTTCATAGGTTTGTCCCAAAGTTCTTCCTATTGCTGTACTGAGACTGTTTCTTTGAAGTTTTGCATCCAATTTATCATGCATGCATTTATTTCTTCTGTCTCCCTGTCATATCTAAGTCGGAGTTGATATATGGGTCCTAATCGGTGGTCTTGATCATGTAGAAGCATTTCAAATTCTGTTATTTTTTCTTAACATCCCCCCCTCCTTTCTGAGGTCAGATTTTATTCTTCCAGCGATTTGCAGATTAAAAAAAAAAAAGTTTTTTTCTTCCCTGACATGCTAGCTTTCTGCAAGCAAGGGAAGGCACATACTTAGGAATACGAGGAACATGTGTCCACTTTTGCTCACTAGAAGTCTGCAGAAATGCTGCACTTGAAATCATTTCTGCAGGAATAAGTTCCAGCCAACAGAGTGATTGCAAACATCCTTCTTGCTGGTAACAGGGTTTCTGAGGAATCTGAATGACGGTTCTTTCCTTCTTCCTGTAGTGCTACCTGGACGGCCACATGACTTATCCGTTGCCCATCGCAATGACCACAGCTTGGACGTGATGTGGGAGCCCGGTTTTAGCGGGGCCTATGCACTGGAGTTCTGCACCATCCAGGTAAAACAACAGCGCACAGCTGGGAGCACCAAGAATTTACAAAAAGGCTTTATTGCAGAATTGATCCACATTTTGTCGAAAAAAAGAAACAGGTTCCTTCCCCTCTTTCCGCGTTACCCTGCAAGGGAACTTGTTTTATTTTTAGGAATGGTTTCCTGCCAACTTCTGCTTCCGCCGGACGTAGGCTTACTCACCCGACGCCCCCTCCCCATCAGCCTGGTGGGCTGAATGAAATGTGACATCCCCCTAGGATGGGGAACTGAAAACCCTGAGAAAGGGGTAGCCACAACCAAGAAACAAAACTGGTAGGAAAATGGGTATTTCCAACATGTGCTCATTCACACAATATCGGAAGATTCTGTCCTGGACGTTGATCTCAGAGGAAATGCAACCTCAGCTTAAAAACAGGAATACAACCATCAGCAACGGGAGGAAGGTGGAAGCTCACCCCTGCAAAATACAAACCAGGAGTCAGCAACCTACAGTTCTTCAGCTGCACCCTGTCCTACTTCGGTGGCTTCCCACATCCCTGAGAAATCTGGTCGAAAAACATGTATTTTCGGAGGCATGCTTTTTTGCATTTTTGTAGAAATAAGATTGAATGCAGCACACTTGTTTTATATTTTAAAAGACAGAAAAAATGAGTGAAAGTTTGAAAGTTTTGAAAAGCAAAATGGGCTGCTTAGTTCCAAATAAGAGATTTACCTCTGGGGTCAATCCCTTCCCTTCCCTTCCCTTCCCTACCCGAAAATCAATTATTTATTTGTTTAAAATGTTTAAAGAACAGAATAAAGAGCTGCATAAAAGGAAAAAAAGGGGGGAAAAGGACAGTGGATGAAAAATTAAATAAATCTCTACACATCTCAATCTGTATAGACAGGAAGGTTAAATCCCTTGGAAAGCCAGCATGTTGTCAAAGTGAAGAGGATGGACTAGGAGTGGGGAGACCCATGTTCTAGCCCACCCCCAGCCATGGAAGCTCTTTGGGGGGACTTTGGGCCAGTCACTCTCTCTCAGCCAGCCTACCTGACAAGGTTGTTGTGGGGAAAAATAGGTCTTGTACCAACCCCCACAATTAAGATAGAATTGCATATCATATAAAATACGAAACTTAAGTACTAGTAGGGTTTCATTTTCATTGAATTAAACTTGAATGAGTAACAGGGTCATGACTTCCTTTCTCCCACTGAAAATTATCTACCTGCAGTTTGGGGCCACAATCAGGGTTTGGTCCAAGGCAGAATTGTTCCTTGCATCTTCTTGGTCTTTGGTCCATCTTCACATGCCTGTCGTCCTCCTTTTCCCAGGCTGTGCGCTCAGATGAAGACAGCCCAGTTTCCGATGAGCTGTATAACCGCACGATCCGTGTCCCCCCTTTCAGCCACACGCTGAACGGCTTGACACCCTTCACCACCTACCATGTGCGCGTGGCCTGTCATTCCACAGAAGGCAATTCACCATGGACCCACTGGGTGGCTATGGACACCTTGGAAGGGGGTAAGGTGGGAAATGGGGAGGGTTGAGACGCCAAGGCCTCCAGATTCCACTTCAGTCCCTTGATGGAAGATAGAAAGCGAATGGATCAAACCAGCTTCACCCAGTCTAGTGTAATTTGGATGTACTGGACTTCAACTCCCATGATTCCGTTGGCAGAATCGCCATTGGCCATGGGGCTGGAGAATTCATGGGAGCTGAAGTCTGACACAGTTGGAGGAAAAGGTTGAACTAGATGCCAGGGGTGTCTGTAGTGGGGAGGGCTCAAAGAAAGTCAAGATGGCAGCCACAACCATGCATCAAAGCCCTGTTCCAAGAAGGTCGCAGATGCCATCTTGACTTTCTTGACAACCCCCCTCCCCCAACACATAACAACAAGATGATTGCTCAAGACATTATGGAGAATTCAGAGCTAAGCTGAGCTAAGATTTGAACAGGTATGTTGAATGGGGTGTTGGTAGTTCTTTGAAGGAAAAGAGGACAGTTGGGTTCTTTGGGGCATATCTAAGATTAGAGTAAGAAGCAGAGTAGCCAGAAATGGCCCCTTCCTTCTTGCACCTAGGACTCAAGGTACAATGTCATGCAATGGGGCATATTGTTTCTCCCACAGTACCTGCAACCGCGCCGGAGGGCATCGTGGCCATTCAGAATGGCAGCTGCACCATCATACAGTGGGGGGAACCACGGGGCAACATCAACGGGGTCCTTCGAGGCTACAAGCTGGTTTGTCAAAGTGGCGATTCACCTGAGGTGAGTACTCTGTATCTGCAGGCGACTCAGCCGCTAAGCATTCTGACCAACCCTTGCTGTACCTTATTCCAACCTCCAGTTGAAAGTTTATTGGATACTTTCCCCTTATGTGGAGGTGGGAGTCATGGAATCATAGGGTTGGAAGGGACCTTGGGAATACATGAACCGCAACCCCCAAATAGGCACAACACCATTTTTTTAAGGAAAGAAGGTTTCTCAGAAATCCAGGGGCAGAAGCAAAAATAAGAAGAAATAAGTCTTGCTCCTCTGTGATTTTGCCCAGTTGGCTCGTGTAGTGATCCTTGGACCCATAACACCTGGTTGCCACAAGGTGCACACTCCCTGGTCAATATCTCACTGAAGACCTTGTCCATCTCTTCCTCCCAAGGTGATTGTGGACGTGGGACTGACCAACGAGACAATCTTGTCCCTGAACTCAACTGTTCAGAACTTGACCGTACGAGTTGCAGCCTACACTGGTGCTGGAGACGGGCCCTGGAGCAAGGCTATCATGGTTTTCTCCCCGGGATCAGGTAAGGAACAGAAGGCCATGTGCCACGTTGAGGGCCTTCTCCCAAAGTCCTCCAGAGTGATGGGGTTTGCAGGACACGCTCAGCCAGTCAAAAACGGAGAGGCTGCATTTGTACCATTGACCAAGCATTCCTCCTTTTTGTGTGTTAGTGAATTGTTCGGCAGATCATGCAGACCCAGAAAACAGGAGCATTTAGTAACCAAGTTAAGCATATCGTGCAAACAATCTCTAGTGTGAAACTGTGTGTAGGAGACAGAGGCAATTCTTTTTTGGAAGCTGGTAACTGAGGGGAGAGAACAAGCAGAAGGATCTTGATAGGATGCCATTCAAAACCCTGAAATAGCCTTGGGGTTAGAATTGAAAGACCAACATTCAAAACTACTGGGAGGGTAGCGGAGGAGAAATTGAAAAGAAATGAAAAAGAACTGGAAAATCAACAGAGAAAGTGGAGGTCAGAAAGAAATGGGAGTGTGGAATAATTTGGCTACCAAAATTATTTTTTTAAAAACCTAGAGTTTCATGGGTGCCAATAGTCCTTGTCCAATCTCTTTGATTCTTCTTCCAAAAGTGACTTTTGATGGCTGGCCTTGGTGTCTGCTTTGTTTTGCCTGGTCCCTGCCCTCCCTCTGGCTTCCTGTTTTCCAAGGGTGGATCTGGTGGTTGGCAGACCTTCAGGCCTGGTTCTGATGCAGTCAGACCACCTGGCTCTAATTTCTGCTCCATTTCTTGTGGTTTGGAAACTTATGGAGTCAGAGAACATAAGCCAGTTCTAAAGCAGAGTCCCTGCTTTCAGATTTAGATCTGGTGAGCCCCAAAAGATCAACGTTTTGTTCTAATGGAGGCGATGGAGGCCAAGAGTGTCTGCCTATCTGTCTGTCTGTCTGTCTATCATCTCCACTCATGTAACATCTATCTGTGGAGTTTTTGGGACTTTCTGAGTGGGTTGTTTGCTTGCAGATATTTTATTGCCCAACTAGGTAGCATCATATCTATCATCCATCCATCCATCCATCCATCCATCCATCCATCCATCCATCCATCCATCTACCTATCTATCATCTATCTATAGTATCTATCCATCAATCTATATACACATACATACATCAATGCTTTTTTTCTCTTGCAGCTGAAACACTAACAGATCCTCAGCCAGGTGAGAAGTTTCCTTCTAAATCCAGTGAACACTAAAAATGATCTGGAAAGTTGAGATGGACAGCTTCCCACAATTAGGATTACTAGATCTGCATCACTCCTTCCGTCCAATGGTCCTATGGAGTTTTACAGTGCAGGTCTGATGGCCCTACCAAGTTTCAGAGACTAGATAATTCACCAGTCTGCGGTGTGACAACTCTGAGGAAGAATTAACATCTCATTTTTCAAAATGACCAAAGGACGATGGTATATGAAAAAGCATTTATACCTAATGCTAAACCAGGATTCTTTTAAAACCACAGTCAGTACATAGTATTAAGCTGTCATGGGTGGCTTGACGCATATCATACCAAGCCAAAATCAAACCACATTGTGGCCTAGAGTGCTACTGAGCCTACCCACTGTGATTTTAGACCACAGTTTATAATAATGTCACCAATTCAGCTGATTGTTGCTTAGTCAGTAAACCATGATAAAACCAAGATACAAATCCAACCAATCTCTCAGTGGGTGGGAATATTTACTGTCCATGCTCTTGAGGCATTGAGTTTAGATGCTAGAACCTGAAAAGGACTAGGTGAAGTCTTGGTGACTAGGTGATCTCATCTGGTCATTGAGGAAGTGGGATTTCTCCATTTTCTCCTCAGAGTTATATCTGGTCCAGAATTCAGCTATCAGATTCCCTCTGCGCAAGGAGTTAGGAGGACATATATGTTTACCTGCTGAATAAGCTCTGCTCACTGACAATGGTTGCTCTTCTTCACAGTAGGACTCTCCACACCTGCCTTCTCCTGGCACTGGTGGTATGTGGTGATCGCGGTGGCCACTGTCATGGCAGCCACCATCTTCATTATCATCTTCTTTGCACGTATGAGGAAAAAGGAAACACGCTATGGGTAAGGAAAAGGTGGCCCTCGGGAAAAACTACTCCATGTTTAAGTCTTGACTAATCATTTGGATGGTTCTCATGGTTGGACCAATCAGGACCCCATTTCATTGTCTCTTTCTGCTCACCAACAGGGAAGCATTTGAGCCTCGTATGGAACAGGGGGAGCTGGTGGTTCACTATCGTGTCCGCAAATCGTACAGCCGCCGGACCACTGAAGCCACTTGTGAGTTCCTTTTCCCAACAAATCCAACATGCATTCAGTGCATGGCTTGGCACCAAGATCCAGCAAGAAGCATTCTCATTTCCCCACAGTTCTAGTTCAGCTGTGGTCCATGCTCACTAAGGCAACAGGTTGGACAAAGCTGGGCTAGGCCCTGATGTCGGTGACCTCTGTAAGTATTTAGGGCTGTAATAGTTCCATCCATATAATCAACAGCAGCCCGTTTAATGGCAAGGGATATTCCATTGAGTGACAAATAGAAGAGGGGTCAACGTTCAAAGAAGGATGTTCCCATGGTGGAATCCGAACCAGGTCAGGAGCATCTGCCAGCCTTGGTCACCCAGAAGGAGCAGACTGGCCCAACTTAGATAAGGTTCCCATTCCTAGCCCAATCAGGAAACTTGGATATAAGTCAATCAAGGTGTGGAGATTACAGCCACAGTAGAAAATGGAAAGGGTTAGCCCTACCTTCTGTAGTATTATCTGACATTTTGGCAATTGTCCTTCCAGCACCTCTCCGGGGCATTAGGCTGGGAAAGTTGGCTGGAGCCAGCCTGCTGGCTGAGGCTTCTGTTTTTGTACCTCAAGGAGCCTGATTCTCCTTCTACAGCAGGGCAAACCCCAATTCTTCTTTCATTGCATTTAGAAACCAGTCCTCCTTCCCCAGCTTCCACCTGTTTAAACTTGACCCTTCTGGTTAGATGATTTCTTTTGGGCATTCTGTGCAAAATGAAGCTCTTTTTCTTCCTGCAGTGAATAGTCTGGGCATTAGCGAGGAGCTGAAGGAAAAGCTTCAGGATGTAATGATTGACCGCCATAAAGTGACACTGGGGAAGACCCTCGGTGAAGGTACGTTCTTCTGGCCATTCTCAGGTTTCCGTAATGGGCCATAGTTTGGCTGAGAAAAATTGGTTCAGCGTTAGGGCAGGGTGGGACAGAGATGGGCAGGTGTGGATTGAAAAACAAAACTTGATTTCATTCCAATTAAATCTAATTAGAAAGCAAATAAATATCGTTAAGAGTGCAGCAGATAGCAGCTCCCCGCCAACCTAATTGGACCTGGTGAGAGGGACATCTGTGGGGTGGGGTCAAGATGGTGTTTTCGATCTTGAAGCCACTATAGTAACTGTTTTGACCTCTCCCTGTGGATGACCCTGCCTTGATAGTACCTAAATTCGAGGAGTGGGGGGGAGGCAGATCATCTAATTGATTACACTCTCAACATCCCCAAGCTTGCATAGCCGATGACAAGCCCAAGAGACTCCTTTTGCATATGTAGGAAAATAATAATCCACAACTGCAATGCTTGCATAAGATTAAACACATGCAAACTTTGGGGGGGAAAAAAATAGCCCACACGTTTGCAAAATTATCCTAGGGGGAAAACCCTCCAATTGCATCACGGAAATCATTGCTTGGATGCCTACTAGTTCATTAGTATTGCGTAACAATCCATTTCAGTCCCTGGAATTTCTTAGAGCATTGGAAGACTCTTAAAATTGTCTCATTTTTTGGCCTGCTAAATTGTCTTCTTGTCCAGAGCAGGGAGTTAGAAACTCTGGCTGGTGAGAGGAAGTAGACAAGGCGAGACTTCTCTGGACACTGAATCTGAGCTTCTACCACACCAAAATAAAGAATCGAGGAGCACCTTTTCAGACTAACATGTTTTATTAGAAGTCAGAAGCTTTTGCGAGCTTTTTAATACATTATTTTTAATAACATTTGTAGGTCAGAAAAGGTGCTACCAGACTCCAGATTTTTTGCCACCATAGAACAACGCAGCAGATCTATCAATCATCTGTCTGTCTGTCTGTCTGTCTGTCTGTCTGTCTGTCTGTCTGTCTGTCTGTCTATCTATCTATCTATCTATCTATCTATCTATCTATCTATCTATCATCTATCTATCTATCTATCTATCATCTCCAAGATGGCTTCCTCTGGGATAATGTGAGAATTGCTGCACAAGAGACCCTATCAAAAGCAATTCTTTTTCCTTTCAGTATGACTTCATTCATACGTCACATCAAGCTGGGGTGGGCAATCCTGTTTTTCTGGGGATTGGCATCCTCAAGGGCAGCTGTTGAGGGTGATATGGTGGGTAGAGTGCAACTAAAAAATGGGCATCTCTCCTCTCTCTACTCTTTTATGACACCTTCCTCTTTCACCCGAGGAAGTGACAAAAGGGGCAGAACGTTTTTTCCAGGTGCCTGAATTGATCTCTTGGAGAGGAGGGTTGAAAGTAGCTTGAGCGCTGTAGGTTGCCCACCTCTGCACTAAATTATCATGGTGGTTCATAGCCGTCGGCCCTTCAAGGTAGGGCAGGTCAAGAAACAGGCCCAGCCAAGGTTTTAGTGATGCTCTTTATTGTTGTAGGGTAGAATAACAGCAGCTAGAAAGCCTGATGCTTTCTCTCTACTCCATCTTATACCCAACAAAATCAAGGTCGGGCTATGTTGATCTTCTTTTTCACTTTCCTCTCTCTTCGTCCCAAGGAATCTTTTCTGAAACTCCCCTCCTCCTGATTTTCATTTCTTCCCCCTTCCCAAGACCAGGATCACGTCCCTTCACAATACTGTACAAGCACACCTGTGCCCCTTGCAAGTGGGGTGCCTCAGAAATGTAGTAGGATTTGTGGATGTGGAACTCTGTCTCCAGTCTCCTGGAGGAAGCCAGAGAAGGAAACTATGGTTTGTCTCGTTTGCTAATGGTTTCATTCTCTGGGTTAGGGTTAGATCGCTTATGTCCTGCCCTGGGTGGCAATGGGGGTGGGGTTTGCCCCCAATCCATCTTTATAGCTTCATGACATATAAACTGGCTGTAAATGTAGACCCTGGTTTCTAAGACAACCATAATAATCCACTACACTAAGCACTCCCCCTGGCTTTCTTGCTGTCAAAATAGAAAATGAAGGACTGTTTTGCTCATTTAGGTCAGAGGCCTGGCAGACGTTCCTTCTGATCTTTACTTAGGAAATCAAAATGTTTCCTTCAAGCACAGCTGGGATTAGTTTGGAAGCATTTCAAAAGGAGGAAAACATTTGGAGACGCTTTTGTCAATCGATCGTCTGCCTGCCTGCCTGCCTGCCTGCCTG